TGTATGGGAATTACTATGGTAAAACCAAGATTTTTGTTCATGTCAATCTAATAATTCACCATATCGGTCTGCTTCAAAAACTTTCAACTTTACTTGTAGGAAATTTTCCTAACTACAACTTTGCTGAAGACCACTTTTTGATTAAATGCAAGGATCGAAAGTTATTAATGGTTCAATGCACTGATGTCTTATGATCATGCTCAATCAACTGCTCAGCAGGCAACATTGGTGTTTCTGGGGCGTTGAATAGGACACAAAAATTATGGCTACTATGTCACACTGCAAAATACAGTGTTGCCTACATAGCAGCTGCTTGATCATGTCATAAGTTTACCAATCTCTTAAATAATTAATAACTATTTCTTGTCTCGTTTTACATAGAAACAAATTTTCTTTAAGAATAGCTATCGAGCTTTTTTGCAGCTCAATATGGAAAAAGACTAGAAGGCAATGAACAAAAAGTTGAGATTTCCCATAGTAATTTACATGTAAACTTCAAATAGTTTGTGCGAAGTCTGTTTCTAACCAAATGAGTTGTAACTTTTGGAGGCTAATCACGACCCGATTTGAAACCATTTAAGCACTGTGGAGCGAAAAAGTCAAAATTTGCATCAGTCTAATATGCAGTCGATCTCGCAGTCGATTTATGTGTTTCTGCAAGTGTCTAGTATAAGCATTTAATTCGTTTGTCTTTTGTACATATCTCTTTATTAGTTTTGTTTGTCTTGTCCCCCGTCTCGATGAGTCTCATCGTCGCCCACTGGTCGCCCACTGGTCACCATAGCCGGTCGAACTTCAGAAGAATCTAGAACCACACTACCGTTCATACTGGCGACATCGCTGTGATGAGACAACGAAACCACTTCGTTTGTGCAACAGGGAGAAAACATCAGCACAAACCATTTCAAATCAAATTATCGCGCCCGGGACACAAAACTATTCAAATGCGAGCACTGAAAAACTCGACGCCAGCACAAAGCAGCCTCAGCTCAAAAAATAAATAAAAATAAAATATTAGCACGTAGCGGAGCAAAAACACATAACTGTTCTCGAACGATTCTCAAAGCGAACAAACGAAATATTATTTTCAGTGTAGAGAAAAAGTTCGATTCAGAAATGGGGCAAAAGTTCATAAACAGTTCATAAGTAAGTTTTACCATTAAAAACCGTTAAATGCCTCATCATATTTGTGTTCAGAAATTATTAGAACTTGGTGAACTACGAAATCCACTCGAAAATAGTGGTTTTTCACAATGAGTGTATTATGGTCACAATTTTGTCGAGGCTTTTGTCATACTCAGCTTTATTTATGATTGTTTAGAGCAAATAAATGCATTTTAGAAATTTGTGAATGATTACATGTGTTTGGGACACGACTCAAGCTTTTGCCCCACTATAGACAAATCCAGCTTCCCGGTGACATCGAGGGTGACATATCAAAATTCTGATGCTCGTAAAATCATCTTCGAGAAAAATGCAATGAATAAAATTACCCCTTCACTTTTGAATGTTCCATGTTGCCCCCGAAGTTGGTACAAATGTTAAAATTTATCAACCTGAAACAAACTTTTGCCTATAGTTCTTCGAACACATGGCCAATTTATGTGATTTTTAAGGAGAAAGTCTAGCGCTAAAGATTTGAAGGTGCTGAAATATTGAATTTTAGTTTTGCACGTGCTTTAAAAATCTCAAAACGAACTTTTGTCCCACTCAAACTTTTACCCCCTAGTTCATTGCGTCTAGCGAATTATTATGCTAAGTTTCATGCAAATCTAAAATTTGTTTATTTTTTGGTTATTTGGCCTAGAACTGGTCTTAAGTGAAAGACATGATTATGTGTACAGTTATGAGCAAAAATTGATGAGCAAGGCTGGGCTACAAGGTACAAAACTTCCCAAGCCACGTGAACGTCAAAATTCTGTGAGAAATTCGCGTTCTCCTGACCTTCTCACTAAGTGTTGTGTACTAAATTTTTGGAAAAATATTTTCTGTTGTTCAAAATATCGATGTTGCTTCGCCAACCTTAATCGATTTCAAATCAGGTCCTGGTAATTCTCCCAAAATTTGAGCTCATTTGGATGTTTTATATTACACTCAAAATAATCGACACGATAAAGCTACGAACTTAGAAAAATTCATGTATATTTAGGTGCTCTGAGACTGACATATACGAGCGTCAATTTTGACATAAAATGGAGTCATAATAGACGCGAAATTCAGCTAAATCAACCGTACTTTTCATCGAGTACCGAATTGTTCAGTCTCGGAGCACTTAATTTTACAAAACATGTTTGTTTACGTCTCATCCTTTATGTCAAAAATGGATTGCGTCACGTGTAATATAAGGTATTTTAAGTGTGTACGTGAAAAATCAATTTTTGATTTTTGTCAATTTACAAGTGTCCAAGGTCTTAAAACTTTTTGTTATTTTAGGTTTTATCACTTATTTTGGTATTTTACTCAAATACTGTATTTTTCCCTATATTTGAAAACTATCTAACATAATTTATCGGTACATATGGACACGGATGGAGGAATAATAATGTGCATCAGCTTGCAGAACAGTCGCTGAGTGAGTAAAACCGAACTGTTTTTTTTATTAGTTAAGAAAATTCTTCGACAATCACGAAAATCGCTGGACGTATAAGCAGCGAAGAGTCTCTCTTTTATCCAAGAAAAAAGAAGCAGTGATACAGAATAATGAAAAGTGAAGCGCGTGCGGCAAATAATAGGGACCTAAAATGAGGAACTAGAAATTGTTTCTTGGGCGTGGTTTTGGCTAGGCAACCGAACATAGATTCGGAATAGTCTCATCAAATTCTAACAGTTACTCAATATTATCCAAAGCCGTCACAAAAATTTCTTCTCCCATTCTTTGCGAGTATGTGACATTTTCTCTCTTCTTCTAAATTGTCTTAATGCACTTCACCCAGGTTTTTTTTTATACATTCACGGGTACCTCCGTTTTGCCCGCGAATCGGTTCCATAGGATTCCCTCGTTGACACTTCATTTTTCGGAATGGGTTTTCCTCGACTAGAACACATTTTTAAAGATTTTTTTCCTGAATCACGAACACTAAAATATACTTTTGCAATCATCAACTGCGTTTGAAACTTCATAAAATCATACAATTTCACTCGAAAAATATATAGCTGCAAAAATAAAACACGTCAATTTTTCATCGCGGCCTGCCACGATCTGGTATTAATGGTGCTGAATGTAAACATTAACATAGCATAAATTTAAATGCGAATAAACTGCCAGTTCTACTATGTTCGGTCAAAAGTTCCTGGTTTTTCAAAAACTGTCTCGTGGACAGCCTTATTAAATTTTCCTAAGGACACCACAAACATGTTATGATATCTCTAATAAAAAATAACCATAGAAGAGAGCTTAACGGGGTATCATCCAAACCATTTGTGGGATAGTGTACCCATCCGAGATACAGTTCGTTTATGGGTTTATTAGGGATGATCAATGGGCTCTGGGTACTCAATAAGGCTGTCCACGAGACAGTTGCGATCAGCTGACTTTTTTGTTTACCAATACATTTTGACAGATCACAGTAGAACTGGCAGTTTATTCTCATATGAATTTCTGCTTTGTTTATGTTTGCATTCCGGATCATTATTATTTAGCTTTATTTAGGAGGCTTTCAGCCTTAGGCTGGTTCGCCTCCAAAGTGCATTCCGGATCATCCAAAATCCGAAATCTACAACATGTTATGCCGAAACTCCGGTCTGTCACAGTTCATGCTACATTTAATCTGAAAAAAAAGTATTAACATTAAGTTTAATAGGTATTTATCAAATTAATCATCCAAAGTACCTAATATTTATGCTGTGTTCCGCAGAAACAACACAAATAGTAATTATTTTTTTCTGTATTGGGTTATCAAGCTGGAGCTGCGTGACAGCTTAGTTTTCAAGACTTGACCCATTTGAATAAATTTTGGTTCTATCTTTGACAATACAGCAGAAGGACTAGCCTATGTTGGCAGCTTGAACACTGGATTCCGTGTGTATTGTTTCAAGATAGTTATGGAAAAAATGCTGTGACGTGTGCGCATAGTAAACCGATTGAATAGGTAAATCCGTTTCGAACGAAATATCTAAATTGTGTATGTTACGAAAACCGCGAATTCCGAGAGCCGTGCGAGACAACCGAAGCGAGAAAAAAGGCTTATTATCATTTAAAGAGTGCCACCAAAATAAATGTGATAGCCTATGTTGGCAAGTTGGCTCCCTAGATATTCTACTTATTTACTACTGAGCTTTGTATCAAATTAGTTAATTTAAAGAACGCATCAATCATTTCAAGATTTCGCGACCGTACCGAACAAGTTCTATACTACTTAAGCTCAAAAACGTTTGACAAGCTCTACCGAATTACGTATCAGTTCCACGTAAGCTCCGCAGACGTAGGCGCGTTGATTCCGACAGCCGCCAAAGGTTTACCTGCACCAAAACCGCTTAAGGAACGACCTCAAATCAGTAAAACTGCTTAGAACTAAACATCTAAAATACGTAAGATATGAAAATCTCGCAAATTACGAACGCCGCGCGAGACAACCGTAGAGAAAAAAACAGCTTATTATCACTTAAAGAATGCTTTTTTCCTTTCCCTTATCACTTAAAGAATGCTGCGTCCTAAATGCACAGTCCTTTTCAGAGTCCCATTTCTTTCATGTTCTCACCGCAAAATGGAACCTCGCTTCTCACGTAACATTTTACCGACACTCACACTCACCGAAAAAAAAGCATGGCCATGACTCATTCTGGTAGCCCATCTTCACCCACTTCAATGTCCGCAGTGCTTTCGAAAGCTTGCCACCCATTGCGTGTCCCGTGCCGGGGGGTGGTTGGGTGGAAAAGCTTCCTCCTTGACAGTTTTTCCCTCTGATGAGTGTTGTGTAGGATACGTATAGTGAAGTGAAAGTGCAGCGCTCTCGCAGTTCAGTCAGTTAGTCAGTGGTGTTCATCCGACGACGTCAGTTCGATTCAGCCGAGTCTCCTCTGGTCGCTATTGTGCCGTGGTCGCAACTGACGACGTCCCGCTTGCCATTGTGTGTTGACTCTTACTGAGATTGATTGGTGGTGGACTTTTTTTTGGATCGAGTGGACTTTGCGATTCGGTGAAGGTGAAGATTGCATTATTTTTCGATTGGAAAGTGTTGAAATTAGCAAGATTTCCGAATTGACGTCTTTGCCACTGTCACGAGAAGGTTGCAGGATTGGTTGAGAGAGAGAGAGAGAGAGAGAGAGGGAGAGAGTGAGCTGTGGAACTCAGCTGCAGGTGGGTTTGTGTGCGTAAGTGAGTGAGGCACACGTGTATGAGAGTGTGTGCATGAGAGCGAGAGAGAGAAAGAGAGCAGGATGAGAAGCTGAGTGCTCTCGCGGTGAGAACTCAAGGAGAAAGGACGAATTTTTCAGCAGGAGCAATGGTGTCGCCGCGTTGCGGATTGCAGTTCAAACGAGCCACGAACGAGAACGGGCCGGGCTAAAAACGTTCTTACGCCATACAAGAAATCTATTTTTTGTGGTGAACAAGGAGACAGTCAGTGGAGAAAAAAAACAAGAGGAAGCGAAGAGGAAGAAGCCTAGAGTTGAACTGTTCCAAAAATCCGTTTTTCTGACAAGGAAAAAAGGAGCTGAGTTATTTTCCAACTTTTTTCCGGGAGGACAGAAAATCTTGGTTCCGATTTTCCACGGTGAAAAAAGTGTGTGTGTGCGCGAATCGTGTATTAAGAAGTAAAAGAAGAAAACGTGTGTGTGTCTGAAGAACAGGAACGAACCCTGATCAATCGTCGAGAAAATTGACTCGGATATCCAGCTAGTATTCCATATAGAATAAAAAAAAAGCCGTGCGTGTCGTGAGAAGAAAAGCTGCTTTTCGATTTTTCCTTAATTTTCCACACGAAAAAAAAAATAAAATAAATTTAAAGAATTGCCAGGGGTGGCGATTTTCCTGTGCCTTTCCACCAGCTTGCCACAGCCTAAAAGGATATTTTATTGCTGCTGCTGCTGTTGCTGCTGCTCTTTGCTTCTTTTGCCAGTTGTTTCAGGGGTTGAAATATTCGACCCCCAGACGAAGAATTTTTGGATTTCCTGTGCTGCCTGTGCTTTTTTTTCTGTTCTCGAGAAAAAACCCATCGTTATGGGATCTGTTTGAGTTGATTTTCGCTTTGGTTGCCTGCTTTGTGAACACGACGAACGAGGATGACAACGGACGAGAGGGAAAGGGCCTCTGCTTTTATATAATTTCACAAAGGAACGCGCGCAGAGGAGAAGAACGGCGGAAACGACAGCCAGGGGGCACCCAGGATACCCCTGGAAGTATGCTTTTGTTTCAGCTACTGCTGCTGCTGCTGCTACTGCTGCTTGACAGGAAAATTGCGTGAAAATCGTGAAGAAAAAATCGAAGTTATGCCATGCCAGTGGAAAGCTGTTTTCTGTTCCGTTTTTCTTCTTCTTTTTCATGAGTTGCCAAACTTTTTTTTTTCTTTCCTTTAATCTAGTTTTTGCCGACTTATTTTTTGCGTTTTCTTCCAGTTTGTAGATATGCAATGCTTGTTTATGATAAAGAAAATAGCATATTTCGCAATGTGTATAGAAATTTTCTAAAAGCATAAGAAGAGTGTCATAGCGGAGAAAAATAAGGAGAAATCACACAAGAGTCTACTGTTGGAAAATCGATTTCGGAAACACACACCAGTGTTCGTCGAGAAAAAGTGCGTCGCTTTCGGTTGGAAGACGAAGTAGAAGAAGGAGAAGCAGATAAGGAAGAAGCAAACGAAGAGAAGGAAAATTGGTCCAATTTTTTCCGAGTGTGTTCGTTCTTTTTCCGGAAAGTGATAAATTTGCAAAAGAGCGAAAAGTTGAAAAGTTCTGGATACACTGCGTGTGTGTTGACCCGCCCCTATTAGAAAACCTTCATCCGATAGAGAGAAGAAAAATAAAACAAGAACAGACTTCGAGTCCAGTTTTTCCTTCATTTGTCAACGGAGTATTCATCAGGAGTCCAACAACGGTAATGTGGCCTTTAAAGTTATTGCTACCTTTTACTCATACAGCTTTTATAATCGAAAAAAAAATGAGCTAAAAAAAGTCATGAGCTTTCAAGCTTTCTGCTTGCAATTTTTCTTTTCAAGACCCGTCTTTCGCTTGGGAAGCTTCCGCTTAGTTTGCTTAATTCGCCAGGAACTGATCGGACCCTCGTTGTAGGTTTTCCTGACCAAATCCTTATAAAATGGACATCCTTTTTTGTTCTCGAAAATTATCGATTTTTCCAACCGTGCACACGAGCAACCATTCTGCGAAACCCGTGAGAGACCCGTGCGAGCGTAAGCTCCCGCTGCTCAGCTTTCAGCTCATTGATCCCTCTCTCTCATTCCTCCCATTTCTCTCTCACACAATACGAGAGAGAGCGAACCCATTCTCGTTTTGCTCGCTACTGCTTGGCTGCCGTCGTCGTCGAGGTCCCGTACGGCAAAATTTGACATAAGCTTTTGTCATCATCACTAACCTACCCCCCTCCCCCCTCCCAACACAATAAATTTGATTAATGACATCCCGATTAACGGGATGCCGAAAATAACGGATTATCGCCGATGCTTTGCGGCCCCGGATCTTGATTATCGGAATCTAATTGACTAGTCGCCACTTGCCACTTCCTTTCGGTGGAAAAAAGTTTGCCATGATATCACCTCTCCCTGAAGAACTGAATATAACCTGCCTAGTACTGCCAGTCACGACTTTTCACACACAGTTTAGTACACCACTGCTGGCAGAGAGCGGGGAGGTCCGTGAGTCGTCCGAGCGAGTGAGTCAGTGCTGGTGTGTGTGTGTGTATGTGTATGTGTGAACGAGAGGCAGATACACATAAGGATATTGATTTTCTTTGGCGCCCCGAATGCTGACACTACTTGATCTCTGCATTAAACCCCGCCGCTGTTCCCTTTGCCTCCCGCGGTGCGCCATACCGACTTTTGTGCCTTGCTTGCGTCCTTTCGTCGTCGTCGTTGTCTGAAGTGAACATTCGTGGGCCTGTGTAGTAGGTTCCTTACATCTGGAGCCATTTCCTAGTCCGAGTGTGGTACCTATCGGTCTGCAGTGGACTTGGTATATGACGTTGGCGACAACTGAATAATGTGGCACTTGACTGGAAATTACTTCAGCGAATGTTCATTACATCAGCTTCTTGTTCGGAGATGATGTATATAAATTCACTGTTTGTTATTCATACATTAACTTTATTAGATGTAACTTACAGTATGAAAAGAAAAATGTTTATCCACCACTACTGCCAGTTTGTAATTTTTCTGTTACTTACTTAGTTGTTAATTCGAATTTTTAAATTTTCAGTACTAATCATTTTCCAATCAATCAAATCCCTTGGGAAATTATATCATGAAGGAAATGAGCTAAGAGGAAGAGGTGACAATTGGCTTCTTCCTCTTTTATTTATATCTCTATCTCTATCTTTATCTATCTCTATCTCTATCTTACGCACATGAAATCGTCCAATCAGGAGCTGGTTCACGTTTGACAGAAAAGTGGTTCATTTTCGCCCCCGTATTGTCACCTCTTCTCTTAGGAAATGAGCATATGCAAAAAAGTATATCCACCCAAATTGACCTATTTATATTTTGGCGTGTATTGAGTATTACCAACAATCAATACGAAGCTATCGATTTTAAATTGGCTCACTACTTGACTAGCCTATTGGTCCCAAGCAAATCGATTAACGTACCCCATTCTAGTCAAAATTCTAGTACTACACTATGTTTGTTTTGATTCGCTATGAAAGTTTGACAGATAAAATGAGGGGTTACTGGATTTTCCTATGTTTCGAGGGGTAAATCGATTAGCTTGGGACCGAAGATAGTACCAGAGCTGAGCCAAAAAGTTGAGCACGTTTCTTCGGGACCTACTAGTCTTAGAGTTACCTCTATGGTATTACCTCTCAGTTTAACCAACCAGTGGAAACTGACTATTTTAAATTGACTCACTACTTGACTAGCCTATTGGTCCCAAGCAAATCGATTAACGTACCCCATTCTAGTCGAAATTTTAGTACTACACTATATTTGTTTTGATTCGCTATGAAAGTTTGATAGATAAAATGAGGGGCTAGTGGATTTTCCTATGCTTCGAGGGGTGAATTGATTAGCTTGGGACCGAAGATACTACCAAAGCTGAGCCAAAAAGTTGAGCACGTTTCTTCGGGACCGACTAGTCTTAGAGTTACCTCTATGGTTTAAAACGGTAAGAAAAAAGTACCAAACGGCCAGTTCACTAGTTTGTCTCCTTTTCTCCTTCTAATGTTGTCAAAAACGGAGGAGCAAAACCACCCAACAGGGGTAGTAAAGTGTGGGAACCCAACGTTGCGTATAATCATGTTTACCTTCTTTTGGGTACGACTAACTTACTTTTGGGTAGAAAGCTAGTGGAAAATTACATACGAATTGCACACATGTAAATGAAAATTACTTTCACCGTCTTTACCTACTTTTGGGTTCCTGCACTATAGCCAACCGGTGGAAACTAACGATTTTAAATTGGTTCACTACTTGACTAGCCTGTTGGTCCCAAGCAAATCGATTAAGTACCCCATTGTAGTCGAAATTCTAGTACTACACTATGTTTGTTTTGATTCACTATGAAAGGTTGACAGATAAAATGAGGGGTTCGTGGATTTTCCTTTGTTTCGGGGGTGCCTCGATTAGCTTGGAACCGAAGATAGTACCTGAGAACCAAAAAGCTGAGCACGTTTCTTCGGGACCTACTAGTCTTAGAGTTACCTCTATGCTATAGTGCCGAGATGAGTGAAAAGAACTTACTTTTGGGGAGTTTTTTCTTACCGTGTATGGTGTTCGGGTCAATATGACACGAATCGCACTTTCAAAGCGTCATAACTTTTTACGGTTACCATTTATCGCTCCCAAGTTTTGTGACTTTAAATCTTCTTCTTCTTTATTCCTTCCTTTATTTAACGTCGGTCTCTGTTCCGCAATATAGTGCCAATCACCGACGGATATCGATTGCCATCCATTGACGGCAATCGAATGTGCAGAAGGGCAGCTTCCACACCTGCGTAGGATATCGCACCCATTCAACAGATTTTTATGCCTCAGAAAAATCCCACCGACCTAGGCTGGGATTGAACGCAGACCCATTGGGGTGAGAAAGCAGTCACGCTTACCACTACACCACCGGTGCTGGCTACTTTTAATCTAGTATGGAAAACTCAATTTTTCCGTTTTGAGCGACATTTTTGGACGTTTCTGAAAGGCTCCACAAAAAAAAAATTACATTTAAGGCCGTTCCTAATGGACTGTTTCAATTAATCATTTTGTTCGACCATTTTCCACAGAGATGGCGCTGTTTCGCTGGTAGGAAGTGATGGAATTCCCATATAGAAATTGAGAGAAGTGTGAATAATTCGCTTTCGGTGCATATTCAGGTGAAAAACAGTGAACGACAACCTAAAGAAATTAATCAGGGACTTTGTCGTTCAGTTTTTCCCCGTAAATTATTGTTGAACAAGCTAGAATTAATTAAAAATGATTTTTCCCCATACAGTTTTACCTGGTTTACTACCAGTTCCCAGAGAGCCAAAAAATTCAAATTTGAGGGAGAAAATTTGCTCTCACGATCATGTATCACTCAATCAATACATGCCATGTATTTTGTTGACACTCGATTTGTGATTTCCCTTTCACAGATTACAAAATAGAGTACCTGACACTACAAAACTTACTTACTTTAACATTTGAAATCCCTCCTTTTTTACATATTCTGCGCCAAAGATACTTTATGCCCCGCCCCATACATAAAACTCGGCGGGAAATTCTGTGAGGGGTGAGCTATTTTGTGTGCAGAATGTTTAAAAAAGGAGGGACTTCGAATGTTAATTTAAATGCATAAATAGAGGTACCAGACATGTTTTGCACTGCAATGTCCTCTGTGAACAATTAACGGAAAACATATTGTGCGTAGTTTCCGATAGATGTCACCTCAAACAACAGCAGTGACATCTGATGGAACATGAATGCAACTAGAACAGAAATGCACATCTCGCAAAGCTGAGTTGCAGTTTCATTGTTCGAGCACTATTTTGCACGAATGGATCTCTGTTTCAAATTCCTTTGGATGTATTTGTGGGGCTTCTAATCTGACAGATGGCAGACGGCCAGGGGAAAACGAAAACCCTCTAGTTAAAGTATGGACGACTGTCTCCACAAAACTGAAAAAAGCTGGTCCAATCGAGCAAAGCGGTGCATTTTGACGGTTCTATTGGAACAACTTTTATCAGACGTCCATACTTTTACTGTAGGGCTTTAAGGAAAACGAGATGACGAAACGAAATCTCATTCTGTTATAAAGACTGGAACGCGCAAAAATTAGTTGACAAAAAAATCGTTTCTTTCAGTCAAAATTCATATCACAAAAATCTTCTTATTTTCTTTTGGTAGTTCAATTCATATATTTAAAGGAAAAAATGTTCGTTTCAAGGGGTAGGTCACTCCGCACACCAATCTTTCGTCATCTTTTTTTTTTTTTTCAGTGTACCGCATGTGTGCCGATGTTGCCGGTCATAAAGCAAGCTGCGATTGTTTGTAAAATACCCATCCCGGCAACCCGGTATTTTTGACACCTTGAATGTTTTGGTTCGAAATCGCAAGCATAAATCGGATTGAGGATGACGCGGGTGTGCGAAATTTTGGTGTTTTGTGTTCATAGGATAATAAAAGTCCCGTGTTATGGGGTATTATAATGCCCTCAAAGGTAGACCAGAAGCCTAGCCTTTTGTGATGTGAAAAACAATCGTCTATCAGCGGCCGAAACCGGTGGGGAACATTGTTGGAGACCGACTATAGAGGATGATGAATATGACTTTGGTAGTTTGTTTAGTGTGAGTTGCAGCATTATTTGAATTAAGGGTACTACTGGGGTCTGATTAAGTTCTCTTGAGCTCACTCTAGAACCTAAATTTCGTATTCAGATCTATAAGTGAACTGCTGGTCT